CAGTGAGAGTGAGGCAGTGAGAGTGAGGCAGTGAGAGAGTGAGACAGTGAGAGAGTGAGGCAGTGAGAGTGAGGCAGTGAGAGAGTGAGGCAGTGAGTGAGACAGTGAGAGTGAGTCAGTGAGAGAGAGTGAGAGTGAGGCAGTGAGTAAGTGAGGCAGTGAGTGAGTGAGTCAGTGAGAGAGTGAGACTGAGAGAGTGAGTGAGTGAGACAGTGAGAGTGAGACAGAGAGAGTGAGACAGTGAGAGAGAGTGAGTCAGTGAGAGAGTGAGTCAGTGAGAGTGAGACAGTGAGAGTGAGGCAGTGAGAGAGTGAGGCAGTGAGAGTGAGTCAGTGAGAGAGTGAGGCAGTGAGAGAGTGAACCCATCTGGCTTTTATGGTTTATCTTTATCAAAAGTCTGAACATCTGACCATTGCTTTGATCATTTGGTATACTCTATTAAATAACATTATTTAAGGGTTAAAGCACATTAAACTATAATCATTGTTGAGCGTGCAATAGAGTAACATGAGAATTGTACTTTAATAATAAGAATTTTAGCGTTAACTTTATGCTTTGTGATTATATGGAAATGCTTGTTAGGTTTTGTTAAATACAGTATGCAAAATAAGTTACTTGATTCACTTGAACTAATTTGTGATACCAGGCTAAATTGTATATTTTAAGAGCAAATCTATACTATACAAAGTTGCTCGGCATAGAGTGACAGAAGACCAATGCTTAGTTTGTGGCTTTTGATATAATAATGGTTGCGTGAATTTTTAAGTGTTCTTTGTTATCTTGATTTTTATATCTTTTTATGTGTCAAAAGCTTACCAACCAAGCCCTATATTTAACATCTGACTTTATTAAGAACAAATGAAGGAGCCGTCCTACATAATTAAAAAAGATAGACTTGGTTTTTTATTAATTCACAATTCTGGGTTATCTGAAGCAACAGATTGGAGAGATTTGGTTTGATATGCATAAGCCAATCATTCGATGAGTTTTATGTAGCAGTGGTAGGTAATTGGTTCAGCAAATATTTACTGCTTTTAAGCAATTTTGAAGAAGTTTCGAAGGTTATACCTTGGTTCAGATATTGTGTGAAGTGTTCAAGCAAAAAAATGCCTGAAAGGTGTAAGCTTATTACTGTCTTGACTTCTAAGATGTTAGCAAAGATCATTTATTTTTAATTATCTTTAATCAGATTTTATAATCCATTACATTTAATCAGATTTTATAATTAAAATAGCTGTGTAAGATGAAAAATGGAAAAGAAAATAATTTAAGCAACACATTTGAACGTGGTGGCTACTCGGATGAGGTCAGGATTATAATTTACTGAGGGAGCATGATGGCCCTTAAGGCCCTTAATAAACTTGGTTGTTCAGCTTCTCACTTTGTTAATTCTAGGACTTGTGATGATTTGATAATTCGTTATGAATTTAATTACATTAAGTCTCTGGGTTTCAAACCTTTCTGCCCTTTAATGTGATATAAATTTGCCCTCACTTTGAATCGATAGCCCTAACACCTTCACTTGATTGCATGCTCAGCTTTTAAATAATTGAAAAGGCTTTTCTTGTATTAAAGTAAGGCTAGATAACAGGACATACCTGTTCCCATTTAAAGACCCACTTAATGGACGTATCTCATTTGTAGCCTGGGTACTACTACCTGTATTATGGAATTTTTTTTTAATATTGTTTCTTTTAAAATGGTAACCTGGGCTGTATACTTTCTCTTTAGGCCAACTTCTTCAAGTGGTCAGAGCAGCCAATGGTGCCCAGTATATTTTTCAACCTCAGCAGTCAGTCGTTCTACAACAGCAAGTTATACCACAAATGCAGCCTGGTGGAGTACAAGCTCCTGTAATACAGCAGGTAAATGAATTAGTGGTCATTGTGGAGTTCTTTTTGTATGAGCTTCTGAGTGGTTCTACAACAGCAAGTTATACCACAAATGCAGCCTGGTGGAGTACAAGCTCCTGTAATACAGCAGGTAAAAGAATTAGTGGTCATTGTGGAGTTCTTTTTGTATGAACTTCTGAGTGAGTCCATGGCTTTACATACACAGATTCTTCAACTCATCTCCAGTGCTGCAGATCCCACTTTGCTAAGTTGCTCATGTATACACACCTCAGCGTAACTCAAATTCAACATATTTAAAATTAAATGTTCACCCTTCATCATCATCTTGAACCCTTTTTGTTTGCACCACTCTTTACCCAGCTGCTTAAGTAAGTTATTCCGCATTTATGCAACAAGCATTTGCTGATCACTTCGGGTCTTTGCAAGGAGCCGGGGTCTTTGATCACAGGGTCTTTGCAAGGAGCCAGGGACATAAAAATACATAAGGCATTCACACCCCTAGTTTCATGTGCTTATGTATTTTCTGGAAGAGGGTGGTATATAATCTTCTCTGCCATTTTCCGAGGTACGGCATTATGAAATCCAACCAATTCTTATTAGTTTGTTGTTTTATTTCACATGCTTGTAGTCCCCTCAATATGTTTGGGGAAAAATATTTTTTCCTTACTCTTTTTGTTTCTGCACTTAAAATTTCTTAGTAAAATATTGTGTTGTCTTCCTAACTGATTCCCAAGCCACTGGACAGATGTACCTGCCAACCTGATCACCATTCTTTTTAGAGTTATCCTTACAAATGTTGGTGCCTTTAATAATTTCCTATCATAAAATATCCAAACAACTCAGTGTGATTTACCAGGTCTTTTTTTTTAAGATCTTGTTTCTTTGAACCTCACAGGTTTAGTTCTTGGCATGCTTCTGAATGGTTACCTGCTCCAGTTTTTGTTTAGATCGAAGTTGTTAATATTTTTACCTATTTGTATACCAGGTTTATACTATTAAACTGTGCAGACATTGGCAAAAGACTAGTGGTTATTTTCCTGGGGAAGTTTAGTACTTGACAAAATACAACGTAATGTACAAATGATGATGAAAACCCGAGGAAGAACATGAATCCTGCCTCCTTACAGCTTTCCAAAATTGCATGTTACTCTCACTGGATTTCACCAGACGTCTTACTTTCTAGAAGATGCCATACTTACCTTTGACCATTCTCCTCCTGGCTCGTTCTGCTCTTTCCAAACAAGCAAGGACACCCAAACAAAAAAGCTAGATCTTCTTAATACAAACAGAAACTCAAGTATTACTCTTTAAGAAGGTCGTCTGCATTAATTTTTGCCACACAACCTGACTTTGATATTCCTTCCTGTGCTCTCATAACACTGTAGCACAATGGAGGGACGTTTTTTGTGTCTGTTGACAGCATTAATTCATACATTTCTTAAGGAAAATACTATTGTTGTTTTTGTCATCTGTGGGTTTGAGGGCAAGTAGTAGGCACTCAGTGCTTTTTCTTTGTCATTATTTGAATTCTAGTACATGCAATTAATACTTGGTACTACAGTCCTGTGTAATAGCATGGACGGAATTCTTTGTGCGCTGTGTTTTAGATTCTTAGGGTGTAGAAACTGAAAGGAACATTGGAAATCATTTGATCAGAGAGGATGGGGGGGGAGTGTCAGTTGTGGATGTGTGAAAAGAATGCTCTAGAGCAGTGGTTCTCAACCTTCCTAATGCCGCAACCCTTTAGTAAACTTACTCAGGTGTGGTGATCCCCCAACCATAAAGTTATTTTTGTTGCTACTTCATAGCTGTGAAAGGGTCGTTCGACCCCCAAAGGGGTCTCGACCCACAGGTTGAGAACTGCTGCTCTAGAGTTTTAAATGAAGTGAATAGGTTTTATTTCACATCAGTGAACCAGACTATTGGGAGGTAGACCTAGTCATTATATGGGTTTAAGTTACCACAGGGTTGTAATTGACAGAGGTGAGAATTGTTGATCCAGGCTAAAAGGGTTAAATGCTTTTCCTTACTTATGTCTGTGGTAAAAGACAAAACTACAACCTAGACCTCCAGGTTCTCAGTTCATTGTTCCTTGTCTGGGTGCAGTGTTGCATAATTGAAAGCACATAGGCTTTGGAGCTAGAAAGCTGTAATTCAAATTGTGTCATTAGTGACCATGCAAACTTGTCAAGGTACCTGAACCTCAAGTACATAAACCTCAAGCATGTATAAGTCTTGGCATGGTGTCTGTTATAAACTTAGCAAAACCAAACAAAATCCATTACTGATGAGTTGTTGATTTTTCAACTCATACCAATGCTGGGAAGAGTGTGCCTGCCCCACATGGCTTCCACAGCTGTCTTTACAAAAGGGGGACCCCCATATCCTTTTTGTGCAGTGGCTGGTGGTTCAAATGGATGACCTTTTAATGAACAGCCAAGCATGTAGCTACTGTACCACCAGGATTTCTATACATAACAAGCGCCCAGTAAATACTTTTAGCAATTACAGTTGACCCTTGAACAAACACACACACACACACACACACACACACACACACACACACACACACACATCAACCACGCAGCAGTTGATAAATGTGAGTTCACCTTTTGACTCCCCAAAACTTAATCGCCTACTATTGATCAGAAGACTTAACAATTACAGTTAGTTGGTTAGCACATAACTTGTAAACTGCATCCACACAAAACCTGCTTTTTCAATACAAGATCAAAAAGTATTTTGTCAAAAGTACAAGATTTTCATGCCTACTGGCATACCAGCAATGGCCTTAGGAGTATTATCCAGCCCCATTGACCTTTATGTTTGCTGGATTTATCCAGAAATGGCAGGCAACTGCTGCAGCTGCAGCCTTCAGTCAACTGACTTTTTCCTTGTAAAGTCTTGACTTTTTTCAGCTTCTTGGGAGTACTTTCAGCCTATCATTTACTAATCGCACTTAGTTTGAGTCCCTTGGTGTTACTTAAAATTTACACTGTTACACTAAACACAATGAAAATACATGAGAACCACGAGAGCTCACTTTTTACTGTGTTGCTCAGTTTTCTGAAGAGGCATGAAGAATGATTAGCATCATACAGTATTTTTTTAAAAAGAAATCCTTTTGGTGAGACCTTTCTAATTCACACCCAGGTTGTTCAAGATCAACTTGTTTTTGCCCAGAAATTGCATAGTGAAAGGAAATTTTAGTGGATCAGTCTCACAAATCTATTGTCATAGCTTTCTTGGTTCCAATCTGTAGAAGCAGATTGAAAGACCTTTTTCCACCAGTACTGCCATCTTCAGGTTAGGAGTCAAGTGCAGAGCGGTTGCGCCACCTAGGGACGTTAGTGGGTCTGTGCACTCTGGTTATTCCACATTTGGGCCTCTTTCTGTGTATGAACTTTCTGAACTGGAGCCTCTGGATCGGAGTCCCTTCTTCCTAATCTATGGTTTTCTGTTGCCTTAGGTACTGGCTCCTCTTCCTGGAGGAATTTCACCACAGACAGGTGTCATCATCCAGCCACAGCAAATCTTATTTACAGGAAATAAGACTCAAGTTATACCCACGACGGTGGCAGCCCCTACACCAGCACAAGCACAGATAACAGCAACTGGCCAACAGCCACCACAGGCCCAGGCTGCTCAGCCGCAAGCTCCATTGGTATTACAGGTTGATGGAACAGGGGATACATCATCTGAAGAAGATGAAGACGAAGAAGAAGATTATGATGACGATGAAGAGGAAGACAAAGAGAAGGATGGAGCTGAAGATGGGCAAGTGGAAGAAGTAAGTTTCTAGTAAAAGATTTGAAATGGCAACCCACTCAGCCATTTCCTATTACAGTTAGTGTCAAACTGCTGGATTTTTTTCTAATTTGGAAGAGCTTTTGGCAGTGCTACACAACGTATGTTAGTAAAGGTAGTGTTAGATTGCTCTGACTGTACTAAGATTATTTGGTTCTACTGTATTTTCATAAATTATCCAAAAATAATCACTTCTCATAAAAACAAAATCTTTACAGAAGCTGACAACCTCATTGTTTCTCCTATGGAGCAAATGGTGGGTTTGAACTGCTGACCTTGTTTGCAGTCAGCAGCCCAACCCTTAACCATTATGCCACCGGGCTCTTCCATAGAGAGAGAGCTACCTTATTTAAGAATTTTCTTCTTATTATCGTGCCGAAATGGCAGGGGAGTGCTGTACGTATGACCTTCTGACTTTACAAGAAAGTATGAGAATAACCTTGAGCATTATTTCTTTGAGCCAGAACTCAGACAAACTTCTGTACCTTCCAGCTTTGCTTTCCAATTTTGATATCAACCTCTCCTCCCGTAGCTCACGCTGCTCTTCTGCTGGGTTCTATAAAATTTTGCCATAGATAACACAGAACTCATAGGCAATACAGATATGGGATTTGTATTATAGGAGAGTAACAAATTATAATTCTGGGTCAGAAATGCTCAGCTCTTCAGTCAGGTCAGTTGGGAAGTACAGAAGTATAGCTGAATTTCTCCTTTGAAGCAAGCAGGGCACTTCTCATGTACCTTGGTCTTGCTCTCAGGAGGGACCCAGTGAAAAGATTTGGAAAGTTTTGTCAACCTGAAGGGATAGTTTTACTGAGTCAGAATAGACCCGATGGCTGTGAGGGTAGTGTTGGAAGCAGTCCCTGGGGAAAGGGTGCTGTTCGGTAAAGGGTCATTGAAAGTGGAAGACCCTTGATGACAGGGATTGGCACAGTGACACCAGCAATGGGCTCAATCATGAACAAAAATGAGGATGCTTCTTGACTGGTTAGTGTTTCATTCTGTTGTTTGTAGAGTTACTATAAGTTATAAAAGCAACTTGAAAGCTCCCAACAACAATGTCATAACACGCAAACAAAAAAACGTACACGTGAATGTTCAGAGCCACCTTATTTACAGTAACTGAAAAGTTGGAAACAAATGTACATCTGATGAATGGACAGATGTATAGCCATACAATGAGTTGTTACTCTGCCATGCAAAAGGATGAAGTAATGGTATATATTAATAGCATGCATGAACCTTGAGAACAGTTTTAAAAAGAAAACATAACTGAATGAAAGAAACCAGACATACAAGGCCACATATTGTATGATTCTAAGTAGTCATTGACAATAGGCCCAAATATGGCAAAAAATTGTGAGGGTGGTGTTAGGTGTTTCCTTCTTGGTATGTAGGTTAATGTGCGTCCGAACTGACTTGAAAGTACATGGCAGCACTCACCACTTCTAGGCAGTGTTTAGCACAGCCCACCTAAAGCCACAGAGATGGATGAATGGTGCCCAGTGTCTTGGGGACAGAAATGAGAAGTAACTGCTTAAATAGGTAGGATTTATTTCTGATAGGATGAAATTCTTAAACTAGATAATGTTGGTTGCACTTTGATTTTGTGGGGTAACTTAAGACACTTCATTTATTACATATACCACACTTAACATATTAAAAGAGTTGGTCATTTTATACTCTAGTTAGGTTTTATGTTGACTTTAAATTCTGTTACTAATTTATCCTTTTTATTTTAAACCTAACTGCTTCAAAAAGTTAAGGGAAAACGGAATTAAAAGATAATGCGCTTTTTTACATGGAGTTTTTGAAGTCCTCTCGTGCAGCCACCATTACCCTCACCATGGTGGTGGTGCTTAGGTGCTGTTCAGTTGGTTCCAACTCAAAGTGACCCCGTGTGTCATAGAAGGAAGCACTGCCTTGACCGGTACCGTGCCCACAAGCGTTCTTATGTGTGAGTCCATCGATGCAGCCACGGGTGTCAGTTCATCTTATCAAAGGTCTTCCCTTTTTTTTGCTGCCCCCTACGTTCCCAGCATAATGTTCTTCTACAGGGGCTGGTCTCTCCTGACCACATGTACGAAGTACGTGAGACCAGGGGTCACCATGCTTGCCCCCAAGGAGCATTCTGGCTATACTTCTTCGAAGAAAGATTTGTTTGTTCTTTTTGAAGTCCATACAACTTTTGATGATCTTCACCAATACCAAAATTCAAATGTGCCAATTGTTCTTCAGTCTTCTTTATTCCACGTCCAACTTTCACATGCACGTGAGGCAGGGCTGATCAGCACATACCTTAGTCCTCAAAGTAACAGCACTACTTTTCAGGGCCCTGAAGAGGTTGTGCTCTGTGTTTAGCAGATTTACCCCGTATAACATGTCCTTGTATCTTTTGACTCCTACTTCCATGAACACTGATTGTGGATACAAGTGAGATATAATCTTAGACAATTTCAAGATTTTCTCCATGATTATACAGTTACCTATTGGTCCAATTGTGAGGATTTTGGTTTTCTTTACATTGAGTTGTACTGCATACTGAAGGTTGGAATCTTTGACTTTAAACAAGTGCTTCAAGTCCTCACTTTGAGCAAGCAAGGTTTTTAGCATATTGCTGGTTAATAAGCCTTCCTCCAGTCCTGATGCTCCATTCTATTTCTTATAATCCAGCATCTCTGATGATTTGCTAAGCATACAGTTTGAATAAGTATGATGAGTTGTCACAGTGGTAGACATGCTAGTTTTTTTTCAGAGTCCTCCTTCTTATTGTAAAGACATAGACCAGCCTGCTAACTTATTTTATAGCTTTTTCTCCTATTTTCCACTTTCCTTTTTACACTGTTTCTAGCACATAATGCCATTATCTCATTATGTCTTATTTCCTTAGGCCACCTGAAGTGGTTACTACAATTCTTGGCCTCCCTTCCACCCCTTCACCTGATGTTGCTTTTTCTAAAAGAGAAAAGAAAGTTGAATTTCTTTTCAGATTAAAAAAGTTATAGAGCTTAACTATTTCAATTGTGCTTAGTTCCTTGCTTGCATTTTAATACTATTACCTAACTGTTAAATTCCATAGCTAATTAATATTAAGTTTGTGGTATATACGTGCATTTGACATTTGCTTGTTCTCAAAGAACCACCAGGTCATTGTGATTTTTTTTTTACTTTTAGAAACTTAGGCACTAATACATGAGGTATGAATAAGTAAGTTCATTTTCATTTATAGGAGCCTCTCAATAGTGAAGATGATGTGAGTGATGAGGAAGGACAAGAGCTCTTTGATACTGAAAATGTTGTTGTGTGCCAATATGACAAGGTAAGAGCTCATCTTCAGATTGGGAGCATGACTTCTTTATGTAGTTTGTTGCATAATCCATCCTTGCTGTTTTGTTCACACATTTGGATAGTTGATTGATGCCTGTTTTTCCCCCTTGCTTCATTTCCCTGTAAACAGTGAATGAATCTAAGTTTTGAATGAAATTGTGGACATGGTGTGTTCTTTCATTTTTTAGTTTACACTGTGCTGCTCAACTTTGTCAACTTGGGTCATTGTAAACAAAGATATTTGGGACTTGTCACTCAGTAATAACTAACTTATTGGGAGAACTCATTTCCATTTAAGCCTGGCTGACCCCCTCAAAGCTCTAGGATTCCCTCGGTGGGGTAGACTAGAAAGAGGCAGTATTAAAAAAATTTTTTTTAATCATTTTACCTGGGCTCTTAGAACTTTTGTTACAATCCATGTATCAATTGTATCAGACATGTTAGTACATATATTGCCATTGTTCTTTTCTAGACATTTGCTTTCTATTGAGCCCTTGGGATCAGCTCTTTTTTCCCCCTCCCTCCCCACCCTCATGGCCTCTAGATAGATTATAGATTGTTATTATTTTCATATCTCACACTGGCCACTGTCTCCCTCCCCCTCTGGTTTCTGTTGTTCTTCCCCCTGCATGGGGGTGTGTGGTTATGTGTCAATCATTGTGATCGGTGCCCTCTTCCCCCTACCCTTCTGGTATCGCTATTCCCATTCCTGTTCCTGAGTTCCATGTGTCGGGAACTTTATCTCTTTCCTATACTTATGTACATGCTCCTGTCTAGTCCAGAGTGGGAAGCAGCACTGGGGTCATGATCATGGGGGGTGACGAGGCCTCAAGGGATCAGAGGCTTGTTGCGTGACCCATTGGTGCTCTACTGCACCCTGATTGACTCATCCCCTCCCTGCAACCCCTCTGTGGGGGATGTTCCACTGTCCATAGATGGCCTTTGGGTCTCTGCTCATCAACGTGTTTTTGTTCGTTTGTTGTTTGTTATGAAACTTCTGATGCCCGTTGCCCAGTCCTGATGACACCACATGATCCCACTGGCTGGTGTGCTTCTTCCATGTAGGCTTGTTGTTTCTCTGCTGGATGGTCGCTTGTTTCACTTCAGCCTTTAAGACCCCAGGCTATATCTGTTAATAGTGGGGCACCATCCGCTGTCTTCACCACATCTGCTATGCACCCATTTTGTCTTCAGCTATCGTGTCGGGGTAGGGGGGCAGTAAGCATCACAAAATGTGACTTTGTTAAAGTGTTCTTGTATTGAGGGGCAGGGTATGGGCTGGGTCCCAAGGCCTGTCTGCGCCCTCAGTGTATTGCCTTATAAATGTATGTACATAGACCAATACCTTTGTTTTTGTGGGTTAATGTATTTACATAAGTACACATCTCAATACCTCTAGCTATAGCTTTGCTTCCTAGAGCTTTCCTCTGTTTCCTTTTGAGGCAGTGTTTTTTGAGGTAGACCTTGAAAACAAGGATGGATTTGTGGAAATAGGAACCAAAGACTAATACTTTTTTCGGTTGACTTATAGGCTTTAAGGGTGGTAAAAGTAGAAAATTAGCATGGAAAGGTTAATTATTCCCAGATCTTTTATAAGTAAAGGTCAAACAGAAGTGATTGGTTAGAATTGTGCTTTCCTATAATGATACATATGACTGAAGACCTGAAAATCAGGTAAAAAGTTGTGACAATAGCTCAATGGCCCTGGATGTCCAAACTAGAAGAATATTGGTGGCATTTAAGAAATCAATTCCCCAGTCATCTTGAAGACCACTAAAGTCAAATAGAGATAAAGTAGTTCATAGAGATAACGGTGCTGATACTTTCGAGGCCACCGCATTAGAAGGATCAGCAGGGTAGATGTTGTTATGTTGAAAATTTAGTTGGGGAGAAGAGGAAGGTAATGCTATAAACATGATGTCAGTGTTGAGGGAAAGTAGTGGTGTCCTGTGGTTAGTAGACAGAAGGCTTGAAGAAAGAACAAATGGTAAGGAAATACTAGACATAAAAAGAATTCTGGAGCAAAAGCAAACAATTCTTGAGAATGCCAGGGTCCAGGAGTGCTGTTTCAAATGTTTGTCAGTATAAAATGTCCTATGACCTAGGCAGAGGTGTTTATGTAAACCTGGTAGAAGATATTTTTGAGAGAATTATCGTTGATTATTAAGTTATTCAGTGAACATATGTGTTAAAGAGCTGGGAAAAATGTTAATTGTGGATAAGCTAAAAAAGTAAGTTTTTGTTACTTGCTTTCTTGATGGTTGTTTTTATTTTACTTTAACTTTGTGGTTATTTTGTTTTAGATACACAGAAGTAAAAACAAATGGAAGTTTCATCTCAAGGATGGCATAATGAATCTTAATGGAAGAGATTATATATTTTCCAAAGCCATTGGAGATGCAGAATGGTGAAGGATTGTTTTTTTTTTTTTTTTTTTTTTAATAAATAAAACAACAAAACAAAAAATTAAAGCGGACGGTTTGAAACTTGGGACATGTACCAACCAAAACTTAACTTCTGCATGTCAGAAAAGTGCAGTAGAAGCAAGGCGACTGGAACAAAGCTATGTTGACAACAGACACTACTTCTAAGGGGCAAGCCATGGAACTGTAGCCCCTGCTATTGTTGGGAGTGGGAGGGCTTAAGGGTTTTGTGTAGGAGAACCTTAATTGTCCATTTTAAATACAGGTACCTGTCACCGGTAATTAGCATGTAAAACTTTGTCTATATTCCTTCCTGCAGCTTGGTTTAAATCATAAGACACTTGTTGAATGAACTGAAAAAACTTACCTTTTGATAGATGGATTTGAAACTGCTTATTGTGTGTGGTTATATTTGGTAAAAATTGCGTGCGAGCTTTTTACAAGAGGGTAAGAATTATGGTGACGAATTTTAATTCACTTGTATACGGAAACAATTTAAAACTCTCATAATAGGTCTTAAGTACTTTTACCTGCTATTCTCCCTCAGCGATAGATACCTCTCTTCCTTTTTTGCTTTATGAAACATCTATTCAAGAATTTAAAGGAAGTTAATCTGTGATCACTTTTATTTTGGAGCAACAGCAGACCCAGAAGTGGATATTTATTTTAATTAGGTGTTTATATATATTAAATGTAATTTAAAGACTTGTGTCTTGCCTGAATTGAGTGAGATTAAAATACTAACTTTAATTTCCTCACCGGAAACTTAACTTTCTTTTAGTCTCACACCTTTAAAAGAAGCCCCAGATTGATTCCTCAGGAATACAGTTTTCTTTCACAGAGGTATTCCATTTAGTTGAAATTGTATACAGCTATAAGCAGATCAAGATTTTTCTTGTTGGGCTGAAGTGTATGCTTATATATCTGTTTAGTTTTTTGCACAAAGCAAAATATTTAGATACTACTCTGTGCATTGATTGAGGCGTAGAGCAGGTGGTGAAGGCCTGGATTTTATTAGGCTAGCAATTATAATAGTTTATTGTGTTGACTGGGAGAAAATGGGAAATGTACTCTTAACTGAACAAATGTTTAAAACAGCTTTGTAATCTGAGGAGAAATTTGGGGAGTAGAAAGGAGTGGGTTACTCAGTAGAGATTTACCTCTTCATTTGGTGGCCCTTCCAGGCCATTAATAATAGAGACACGGACTCCAGTTTGCACATTGAGGACTTTGATTTGTGTATTAAACCAGAAATGTAATGTGTCTATTAAGAGTAGCATTTCTGTATTCCGGAAGGCACTCCGATGGACAACATGGCAGCGTGGAGTTCGTTGTGAACGTGCCTCCTGGGAGCAGTGCGTTCACCTTTTGTGTTCGTAGAACTAAGTCAGCTTTTTATGGTTTATCTTGACAAGATTCATATTTTAAGTTACTTGTATATATATATAATATATGTATTTTTAGTCTTCCATTTGCTTTCCTTTGTGTGTTACCAGAAGGAACACATAAACACTTTAAAGTACATTGCAAGGAAAAAAACTGTGAGCTATTATATAGTATATTTTCATTTTTTAATACAAATCTTTAAACTTCTCAAAAGGCCTAATAATTTTTTGTTTTGTTTTTTGCCTACTTCCTATCCCATTCACCAACTCTGTCCCTTTTAACTTATGTTATTTTCTAAGCTTTCTTGTAAATGCTGGTAGTTAAATTTTATTTAGATGCCATGTCTGAGAATACGGTTTTTATTTTTATTGTATCAACTCTTTCTGGAGATTTGTTTACCCCACTACTCTGAAGGCACACGCCATTTTTTAATTAATGAGACAGGGGAGAAATGGAGGGAGGGGTGGGGTCACAGTTCTATTGAGTTGCCCTTCAGTACAGTTGCTCGTAGGTTTATATTTACCCACTGAAGAAGTCAGTGACCTGAACTACCTATACAAGTCTAAGTAGTGCTGCAGAGTTGACGAAGCTCAAAGCTTTTGGCTGTCTAGTAGCTCTTGTGCTACTGAAACACGTGGATTACCCTCTAAGTAGACAAGCATCTGTAATCAGAGCCTGTTTGTATTCCCACCCCCACCCCACACCCCACACCCGCCCCTGAACAGGAACAACCACTGCTTTCAGAATGACTCACCACCATTCGTTAGAAGGGGAAACAATCATTTGTATCTGTGTATTGCATATTAAAATGGCATGCTTGCCAAACGTACCTGAAAATTCTGAAAGCCAATCCAACACTGCATACCAAATTGTGCTCTTACATATATATTACTGAATTGTACTTCTTTGCAGTCAAATAGCATGTTTTTGTTTTATTATAGTGACTTACTGTAAGAATGTCACTTGCTTTTATTGTACTTGAATTCTTAATCATGCTTTTAACATTGTATTTAACAAAACATTTCATTGGGTTCCATAAAAATGTCATTCCTTTGAAAAGACAAGGGATTCCCACTTTCAGAGTTTTAAACTGAAAGTTATATTATCCAAATGGGGGCAGGGGATAATAGCTCAGACTTCGTATTCTAGAAAGAGAAGTTTTCAGAAAAGAATATGTTTAGATTTGCACAGATAGTGATGGCATCGTAAACCAAAAACCAAACCCACCGCCATCAAGTTGATTCCAATTGGGTTTCCCTGGCTGTAAATCTTTACGCAAACCCCATCATTTCTCTGCGAAGCAGCTGGTGGGTTTGAGCCCCAGGCAGCCAAGCACATTCAACACTGGAACCTGAGCTCCTGGATGGCATCTTAAAAGCAGGTTAACATAGTGAACAGTGTGAAGGGAAAATGGACAGAAGTGAACAGAGAAGGTGAACTGTGTGCCTTTCAGTATACATACCCTTGTGCGGTGGTTGTTGGGTTAGCAGACCACGGGAATGCTTGGGAGCACATTCCATTTCTGTGGCATGCCACAGATGGCCCAGAACAGCTCTTTAATGTGCAGTTCATTTCTAGAGTAAAATGTCTGTTATATGCAAGGTGTCTTTATATTGAGTTTTTACATTTTTAAACATTTCTTTTTGTTAATTAAATACCATCGTATCACATTTACATTGTTGCTTCTTTAAAATGAAAGACACCTTGATAGTGTTCTGGGAATATGTCAACATTTGACCAGTGTGTATAAAGAGATTCCCAACTATGTTCTTAAGGAGCATATTTCTAATAGATTTCTGGTTTTAGAAAACAAGATCACAAAAATATAATAGCTTTTGTGTAAAGATTTTCATTTGCTAGGAAAAATAAAAGGATTTGGCTGTTTTCTTCTGGCTTTTCTGAGAAGTTATCTCTAAGTAAAATTTGATTATCTCATAGCAATAACATCACCATTCTTTTCAGAGGGGGACATAGACCTTGTATAGGAAAACAGACATAATTTTCTCTTGGGATTACCCTTTTTAACAGCATTCTCTTCCACTTGAGAAAATCCTATATTTCTAGGTTATTTTACCTTGACCCTTTTTTGAGCTTTTGTGCAATGTAATGATTTATTGATCTGTGTTAGTGTATTCAGTTTCCTTCATCTGTCTCCCTAGATGAATCAGCTGTCTCTGACTTCAAACCCATTGGTTAAAGGAATAGTTGTATTTATATATTTCCCTTGTGGGTCAATTTCATATAGTTTTGCATTTAATCCAATATTGTGCTATGGAAATTATTCTGAAGTTTATATTTTTCCCCTTGTAAGCCGGCTTTCAGTGTTTTTTGTTATTTTCTATGGTTTAAGGATAAACACAAAACCTTTTCTGTGGTTTAAGGAAGAACACATTTTTTTCATTTAAGGAACAGAAGAGACTTCTTGCTTCTGTTACCGGAAGAACTACATTAAATTAGTAACTGAGAATCAATCACCTTCCCTGAAATCAGTCCAGTGGGCATCAGAGCTGTAATTGAGGGGTGGGGTGGGGAGGAGGACGCTGATCTTTTGCTGTTCTGAGCTACTATTGTCAACTGCTGTTGTACATACTGTTATGTGTAAGGGCGTAAATATATTTATTATGTTTGTAAAATTCATTCTGCACAATTGCAGACCGAGGTTGCTCTTCTGTGACATACAGGATATTATGTTTTAAAAGGCCATCCTTGGAATACAATTAGAGAACTTAGTATTTTGATGTACTAAGACCTATTTTAAGTTTAATATTTTACCTTTGCAAAAACTTTAATTAAAGATGTTATTTAAAAAAGAAGCCATGTTGCTTGGTTTGCTTACTAGTGTATCACATTGTTACATAGAGGTCACTGAATGACATACAGTCTAGAAAAGGGAAATGGTTTACATTGTTAATGATAAGTTCCATTATCAAAAACAAGGTTATCATTCAATTCTATATAGTTAAGATAAATAGCGTGGGGTGCCTTTCTGAATTATTAAAACTGTTACAAAGTCTTACTAGTGTTTTAAAGAGTGTTTTCAGAACACAGTAACTTTAGCTGGCCTAAATTTACACTAACAATGTGTAACTAATTTGATGTGATTAACCTTGTATTAAATGAATATTTCTACTCCAAACAGTCACTTAGGGTGAAATTATTCGGCGTTTTTTATTTTGATGTTTAGCTAACTCATTCCCTCTTAGTACAGAGCTTGTAAATAATTGCATATTAATTTGGTTAAGATTTGTATTGCATATTGAATATATTTTGTATTTTAGAAGATATTAAGCAAGTAGCAAGTATTTTAATTTCATAGGTAATTCAAATGAGTCATTAAGAGAAGAAAGCTTGCCTTTTTTTGTAATTTTCTAATCCTATTATGTAGGAAACATGCAAATTTTAACTATTAAAACAACCATAATAAAAACTATTTTACATATGCCGGTAAATCTTGTATTTTTGTAGTGTTAATTCAAGTCTTACTACAGTGCTGCTGATCTCAAACTTTTTTGGCCTAGTTTCTCCTGTAAACTCACTGTGAAAGGGTTTTGAGAGGGATATGAAGTATAATATGTGTAAAACTCTTAAATGGTGCCTACTTTATGGTGAGCATTCACATGCCATAACTAATTGCCTGATTCAAAATGACAAGTGGAGTGAAACACCTAAATGGTCAAAATAGTGAAGGGTTGTGGTCAGAGTGAGAAGAGGCAGTGAAAGTTTGAGAATTTTGAAATAAACATTTTCTGGATTATCTAGTCTAAGCTAATTTTCCCCAAAGGTAAAACTATAGAGCGCAACTCTTAATATTTTAAAAGTCAAATGAGTTCCCAAATACTAGTAGATTTCCCTCTATTTATAGATAGGAAAACATTGAGATGGTAAGAATCAAGGCTGTGGGCACCTCACACTGATTCTGCCCTGACTCACTCTGCTATCACTTGGCAGCCTTTCCCTGGAAGTAAATGACGGGTCACCTTTCCAACCCTCCAGTGCGTGGAGGGGGGAGGGCAGATCAGTCTTTCCTCCGAGGGAATCTGAGGGCAAATTATATACGAACTCGGCTCCATTTAGTGATCTCTGATTCAGAGAGCGTGATCCAGCGCTGTCGTGCTTGGGGACTTAGAAAACATGCTATGAAAGACAGAAAACAGGCTCTGTTTTCATGCCTGGTGTAGATTGGGTCACTAACTGGCCATGGGCATGTTGCTGAACCTGACTACCTCACACACCGGTGAGGATGCAATGAGAGATCATGCACATGCCTTTAGCACAGCCCTTGACACCTGGTGCTGCTAAAATGTATACATGCCCAGGTATTTTAGTGGGGGAAAATGGTCACAGAATAGAACTTTTTAGATTAATGAAATCTGTGAGATTTCATTATTGCCACCACCTGACTTTCGATGCTTCTACAGATGGAGTTTGTCAATGAAAAAGTTCTAGAAGCTTCATCTTAGTTTTGGACTTGACATGGGAAATGAATTGCTTTCTTGAAGCAAGAATGTTCTGAATCCTCGACTTCACACTTTGCCTTCCTGAAGTTTGTTCATAACAGCAGTTGCCTACTGGTCGCTTCTGGAACATCGCATTATTTTAATGTGACAATAGCAGGATTTATGCCTCTATGATCCTGCCTACCGCTCATGTCTCGGAGCCCTGGTGGCTTAGTGGTTATGCCCGTTGGGTGGTTAACCTGGAAGTCGGCACTTAGAAACCATCATTTGCTTCTTGGGAGTTAGCTCAGTTGCAGTCTCAGAAACCCACAGGTGGGCCAGTTCTACCTTGTATATATGAGGCAATTGATGGTGGTTTTGTTTTAATGCTTATGTTTCACTATGATTTTCCCTAGTCACTGCTGTATGATACTTCTAATCCTGCTTCCTTAAATTTGATTAAAGACTCCACTGTATCAGAAGCTCAAATTGAAAGGTAGGGGCCCTCCATGACTCCCTTCTTTATCTAACACATGCAGTGTACCAGTAAAATCTGCTGGTGTTACCATAAACATACCAGTAGTTCATGATTCTGACAACTTTGTGAGTTTCATTGCTACCTAGTCTAAGCGCAAATTCAGAGTAGCATCGGGGAGTATTATTTCTCTTGTCCAAGCTGCTTCTGTTAAAGCAGGGAGCAGCAGACAGTAGGTTCCCTCAACCAGAGCTCAACTATACACAGGACGGGGAGGGCCTTGCATGGTCTCGTGCTGATCTGTACTGTAGGTTTGTCTTCTCTCACACATTGTCTTCCAGCTGATCCCGACTCAATGACTCGGGACAGAGCAGAACAAGGTTGTGACTGTACAGAACTGGAAAGCAGAAACTCCTGCAGACTGTTGACCATGTAATCAAGAGCTCTGCACATCACCCACTACTCCACCAGGGCTCTCTCTGAACCCAGGCCCAGGTAGAATTCCTTCTGCTGCACAAGTAGCAGCCACCTGGTTTGTGAGACAGCATTGAAGATCTGTATGCACAGCCCCGAGATGCACCCCGAAAACTGCAAAGAGCACAGGCTTTGGGACCAGATTGATCTGGGGTCACATGCAAGGTGTTCTCTCTTCCCTCCCTCAAGTTCCAGGTCCCTTGTTTATAAAATGGGCAGAATGATAGTTATCATGCATTATCCTTTTAAGAGTTCATGTAAAGTGTTAAGAAACAACTTTTAATCATTTCCAATTTATGGCAGCCCTGTGTTGTCTAAGGATTTTGTAGCTGTGACCTTTCCCAAGCAGACCACTAGGCCTTGCTTTCCAGGTAAACTCATTCTAGATGAGCTTGAACCACCAACTATTTGCTTCATTCCAAATATTGCTGTGAACAAGGCTCCAAGATTGCCTGTCTTACTCCAGTCAAAGACGGAGACCACGTTGATTCAGTATTCTGAAGCAGGAGACAAGGAAACGGGGGTTTGCTACTTGCGAACTGCTTTAAAAATCCAGGTAAAATCAAGGAAGTTACATGACTTAAATTATGTGACAAAAGAAGCAGGTTTTCAGTTGATCCCCCTGTCTGATGTATGTGGGATCTGATTTGGTTTTCAACATTTTCTTTATTCTTGTTTTGTTTGTATTAGGGTATATCTCAGGTATTTTGTCCTTGGAGATTGCCCTCTTGAGATTGTGTTATATATTCTTTGTTTTGGTACATGAAACTCAGGATTGATGAACCTATAGGAACAGCAAGTAAAATAAGGTGTTTTTGTTTTGTATTGGGGGCTAGTTGTTTAGGTCGTCAAAACAGGGACTAGGGTGTCCACTGGGCACCCTCCAAAATTCAGGCTCCAAGCCAGGAAGGGGCAGTACACCCAGGTAGGCAGTACACCTGAGTCGGCCCCAATCTGGGCCAGGTGAGCTTAATTCAGCCAATGGGGTCAACAGGTCTAGTCAACCACGCCTCCCAGCCCAGGACTGAAAAAGCCAGAATCTATGTGCAGGTGTGAAGTGTCCTGAGGATGCCTATGTAAAACCTGAAACTTCTTCTATCCATTATAAAACTCACTTGTATCACAAGCCAGGCTTCAGAGGAGTGAATCCTTTCTCAACAGGAAGCCAAGGACCCAGGTATTACCATCCGAGAAACCTAACGGGCGGTGGTCCAGTGGTGGGGTGGGGGTGGTCAAGGGAGATTATGTCCAGGAAGAAAAGAATGCTTGGAAACTGACAGTGGTAGCAATTGTGCAATTCTGCTTGCTGTGATTGAACTAGAATGATATATGTATTAACTCCCAATTAATAACTTGAAAAAAGACAAGAAAAGCCGTATGTACACAAAGTGGTAAAAACAGAAGCAGGTTTTGCATGCTCATGGGAAAAAATGAGCAAGTTTTGTAACAATCACAGGAAACAATTGATAACCTGTACTTTACCAGGAGTTATAGGCCTCTGTCCCTTGAAACCTCATGTTAGATTGTAAATCTAGATGGGGGATGCATCCACCCTGGCCACCTGTCTTAGCTGGCTTTGCTTATCACCTTCCAGAGTTAGAACCTCCCTACTGATGAAGCTTAAAAGGAATTTTTATTGAAAGGTGGAGGGGTTGGGGGAATGGAGAGGTAGAAGAGAGCTGACTGTAAATATTTTGGACTTTCAACAACAATCTTAATTTATGTTCTTGGAATTTTGGTTAACAGTAGGCTAACTCGTCCACCTCCTCTCTCGTCCTGGTACATTCTAGATGCTGAAAATACTTTCTGATACTAGTATATGTGAACTTAGAGTTCTTTTGGCCTGATCTAATTTTAAAAATAGGCCCCAACAACCCAAAGAAATGCTGTAAACTGAAGGTAGTTATTACACAACAAATAAAAGCTAGAGCCGGAAGCGGAGACCCTATGCCTAGTTCCCTTTCCACTACCTGGCAGCAGGCAGCCCACTGGCAGTACTGTCGATGGTCATATATTGTCCACCTGTTTTCAACAGTACACAATGCTTTCTTGTTTGATTCTGCAAACTACTCAGTGCTCTTCCAATCAACTCCTTTTCTATTTAAGCGGAGTTGGTTACTGTTATTTGCAATCAAAAACAGAGAGAGAGAAGAATAAATTTGGGAACGAACCCGCCTTTAGCACCGAGTTCATACGAAATGGTTTATTAATCATGCGTAGTAGTGTGTGCTGCCAGCTCAACAGGTTCATGCTCAGTTACCCCTCTGTACAGTATGCAAACACTTTCACATGTATCTGTTGAGTAAACATGCTTCTTTTTTTCCATCTTCACCTTTATTTCCTATTTCCTATATCACACCAGAAAGCATATCCACTGTGCATCTTCTGGTAAGTCAGTTTACAACAAAAGTGCACCAGGAAATAAGTTTGCAGAAAAAGGCCTCAGCACACAACTGTCCGTAATTCAGTCAGCCGTTGAGTCGGTGTTCAAACTCTTTAGGTGTTTCAGAAAACAGAAAATAAAAGTTCTTGGCTATTCAGCAAGACAAAAATCAAGTTGAAAAGACTTAGGAGGGAAAAAAGAGCTGATACCAAGGGCTCAAGTAGAAAGAAAATGTTTTGAAAATGATGATATATGTACAAATGTGTTTGTTAGAATTGATATATGGGTTGTTGTAAGAGCTATAATAGCCCCCAATAAAATGATTTATTAAACAACAAAAACAAAACCACAAAGATGACGAGTAGAAATCAGACACCACGGAGCTGCTTGGTAGGGATACACATTTACATTTATGGTACCAGCTATAGTCTCTGAAAATGAAAAATCCGTACACACAGTAAGACATCACCCAGAAGGAAGAGCCAGGGTGTCAGGAAGTGCCAAGGGAAGTATGCTTGCAACCACTGGTAGAAATGTTACAGACAAATATCCGCTATGGACTAGAGTGTTCTTGTAATTTTGAGGGGAAGGTAAACCCAACCACAGAGAATGCGTTGGTTTAAATGATATTTCACTTTTTTTTTCTCACCATAACTGGTTGCTTTTAAGCA